CCCCCCCACCCCCACACACACACTTTTAGACACACATTAGTGTGATTCACCTTTTTCAGGTTGACAACATTGACCTTTATTTCATTAATCTGAGAACAAGGCGCTTTCTGAAATAACAGGTTGTTTTGATAACTTTCCGGTTCGGCTCACCGGTTGGGAGCTTTTTCACTTCTTCTTCTCTGGTTTTTCTTCACCTTGAACGGGTGACACTAACAGTCAGACCTCCCACGCTGCCGGTGCAACAACCAGGAAGTGTTCTCTACCATTTCCTTCCCCGAGCCGAGGACTGTTTGGGACCTGCTGCTTTCCCCCCCCCATTAGACCGTGATTAGTTCCCCAGCTTGCCCCCCCCCCTCCCTCCTGTATTCTGCTGACCCTTTGTCACCATTTGCCCTTGGCAACGGGGTCCGGCCTTTCGCTCGTGGGCCTCAGACACGCACGTGTCCCTGTAAACCAATCCTTCCCCTCTGCTGCTGGCTTTTTTTTTCTCTCTCAGAGACACACCACCGGTGCAAACAGCAGCTCAGGGTTTTGGTTTAGAAGCTTAAGTGAGTTTGGAGATTTCCACGTTGGGATAGGTCATTATTTTTGGGGCAGGAAAAAGAAATGACCGGAGGGTCAGAGGTGTGTTGTAGTAGCGGTTATTTCTTTTTCACTGGACAGACCTATTCTCACTTTCCAATGGTGATGCAGGTTGCTAAGGTTGAGTATTTTTGGCTTCTTTCAAAGCAAAAAAAAAAAGAAGAGATCACTAATGTAAACAGGCTTGTGCAACATTCAGAAAACAGTTTTCTGGCCTTTGTGGACTTCTGTCCGTGACTCACATGTGCACTGGCCACATGCCATTATGCACGTCCAGCTGCTACTTCTGGGGTCCGTGGAGGGACACTTTCTCTCCGGGCAAAATCTGGACGCCAAGGCTGGCTGCAGGCCCCCCATTTGCCCCCCGAAGCCGCAACCTGTCAGCACGCACCGCATAGTTCCACAGCAGTTTACCAAACTGTTGCCTAATGGAATTCACTGATTGACCAACAGTCCCGGAAAGGTTCTACGTGAGACAGGTTAGTTTTAAGAGGCCAAAACCAAAGCTGGAAGTCAGACTCTGGTTCACCCCCCCCCCCCCCCCTGACCAGGACTCCTCATTAGTCTTCATTAGGTTCAGAGTTATTCGGGATAGCCATCAGTAAAAGTTGCTTATGGCACCTCCAAGCAGGTCATAAACTATGGAAAAAAGATCGTTCTTCAAATGTTAGAAGTCCAAGTTGCGCCCAAAAATGAACCTACTGTTGTGGGTGGTTTTTTGGGCAGAAATCTGTTGAGGTAGAAGGCCCTGATTTAACAAATATATCCCAAAAGATTCCTCTAGGTTTTTCTCAAGAGCCCAAGCTGGACGTTGTCAGAATGAAGCCCATCATAACTAAAACTATCTTTTATTTGTTGGTATAAAATCTCATCAGTGACTGTATATATTGAATACTCAAATAGCCTGATGAAATGACGCCTTATGTCCTGGGAAGGGAGGGTAAAAAAAGACTTCTGATTGGCTTTTGAAGCAGCCCGTGGTCCAATGTGATCCTATGCAGTGAATTACAGGATCTTAGGCTTTTTTTTGGGGGTTTAGTTTATTTTGTGGCTAGAGGACGCCACCGACATTTCCCCGACACCTCGGGAAAATGTCTCTGCTGGTTGGGGGGTGAACAAAACGGGAAAAGAAAAAGTTGACCGTAGTACGCTGGATCAGAGCGGACAGCGTGCGAACGGGCTTTGTTTCTTTTTCTTGTTCCTGAGAGGCAAAGTGTGCTTGTGGTTGTGTGTGGGCGTGGGCATGTGGGTTTTTCAGAAACTCTGAGCTCAGACCGCACTAACTGATGTCAACCCCCCCTTCCCACACACACACACACACAGCGTGTCCTGATGCTTTTGTCTTCCGTCTAAAGGAGTGTGGACTCGCTGACTCTCTGCCTTTCTGCTTGCTGACCGCTCCCCCCCCCCCCTGCTCTGCCCACAGTCGGGTCGGGTGGCCATGGACCCGTTCAGCCAGCTCATCCTCACCATCTCGGTGACCAGCTTCTTCACCTTCCAGTGGCTCTTCCACAGGGTCAGCCCCTGGATGTCCAGCCGCGTCAGCCTGGGCTTCGGCGGCCTCAGCGACAAGCAGAAGGTGGAGTGGAACTCAAGGTGACCAGGCATGAGTGTGACCGAGTGTGACCAGCGGAGGCCGGGCGGCGTTGCTCCTAACTGACGTTCGTGTATTTCCTGCCACTGCTCGCATGCGGGTTTTGCTCTGTGTGTGACAGTTTCAGAGAGCAGGAAGCGGCGTTTTAAACGCGCTACAATTCCTTTTCAGAGGTTTCAACCTCCTTTTTTTCTTTTTTGAGAACCTTGAGCACCTCTTGTTTATATCTGCTTAAAACTATTGCTGCAGATCAAGTAGGACAAATGATTAGATTATCTTTTTGGGACGTTGCAAAATGGAAAATCTCTTATTTCCCACCCAGTTTAACTTCCCTGGCTGATATTATCCGACAGTTTGTACCCAGTTGTTAAGCAGCCGTAGTTATTTATTTATTTAATTTTTCAATTTTTTATTAATTTACTTTGTCTCTTCGCAAATTAGCACCAAAGAAGAAGCCGTGAATCCGAAAAAGCGCACAAATCAGTCCAGCCTGGTCTGCCTTGCCACACTTTTCCCCCCTTTTTTGCATTTTCTCTCTCAGCTTGGGGTTATTGCACATGAGAGCTGTTTTTGAAAATGGCCGCTCGGTTTACGAGCAAACGAAGGTAAACGCTAAGCAGTTATGGATCCCGGCTAAAAAGATCCGCGTGGCGGTCCGTGACTTCCCAGACTCGGTGTGAAGTCTCCCGGCCTGCTCGGCTGTCGCTCAGCGACTGGAGAGAACCGCAGGGCTGTCTCTCTCTCTCCGTCTGACTGACGGCGGCTCGGCGCTGACCCCTCAGCAGTATTTAATCTGGAGCTCTAATTGGTCTGAATCTGTGCGCGCCCATGACAGGCAATTAGCTGATCCACTGTGAGTGCCGAGAATTCCTCTTGTCTAACCGCAGAGCGGCTCTGAGGCACTTCTGATTAGTGAAGATAAATCTGTGCTGTTTCGTTACCAGTGTCATTCCAATAGTTAAATGTTCTTTTTATTTCTTTTCCCTCTCTCTGTTTTGTTTTTTCAGAACGGTGTCGACATTCCACGCGCTGTTGGTGGGAATATTCTGTCTCTACATCTTGTTCTTTGATGATGCCGTCAATGAAGACCCGGTCTGGTGAGAAAACTAGCCATATCGAAGTCTTTAAATGGCCTTTCAGACCCTGCTCGACTCTCACGTCAGAGTCCTAAAAGAAAATGCAACGCATCAAATTCAGTTTTTGTCACCGGTTAAATGAAAAAGATATGTAATTCTCGCATCCACTTCAGAATCAGAAGGACAGCTCATGGAAACAAACGCAGGTTTAAGATACTATCGCACTGGAAACCCGTGATATTAATATTTCATGTTAACAGTGAGTGTTTTTTATCTCAGGAGAAGCAAACACCCTTACCATAATTCACCATATATATATACGCAAAAAAGTCCCTTTTTCTTTTTATTCCCTTTTTTATTGTGATTGGCAAGACTTGGTCTTGGTTTGCGATAAGGTGGGGGATTCTGTCATCGACTGCTAGTTATCGCTTGTTTGTTTTGAGTTTTTAAAAAATGATAAAACCATATTAACACCACTGGTTATTCATTTTAAATATTTTAAGGTGTAGTTTGACATTTCCATCTACTAAATACCATGAAAAATATTAATTTCACAAGTATGAAACGCGGTCGGCCATTAAAAAAACTATTTTTTGGGGTCGCCATTACAGGAAACAGTAGACATAAACACGAGGATGAATAGCACACACGCTGTCACAGTAGTGTATGTATCTCAAGTGGGGATTTGCGGTGTTCTGTGGGCTTTTGCTTGTATTAGAGTTAAAGAAAACATCGTCCTCTTGTCTCGGTTTCATACAAATGGAGCGATGAACATCTGTGGTTTGACCTAAAGCTATTTCTTGTCATCAGTTGGCCTCAAGTTCATTTGCGGGCCAGGTCACTGTTTTAAAAAGATGGCAGAGTATGTTTGGTTCATCAACCGCAGGTGGCTTCTGCATAGAAAATCGGCCACGATAAAAAAGAGAAGCTATCACGGCCATTTTTAACAAATTCAGTGGCTCTCTATAGAGTTTTAGGGAGCATCTGGTTACTGGGATACCATCTAAAAGCGAAGTGACTCTGAAATGACTTTTGCTTTCCTCAAACAGGGGAGATCCCACGCTGGTGAAGACCAATGTTGCAATCACAACAGGCTACCTCATATCTGGTAAGAGAAAAAACATGCAGTTACAACCAGGTAATGTCAGCTTTCATTTAGTTGATAAATGAATGAAGCTTTTTTTACACGCTGTGAGCTTTTAATCTGTTGTTTTCTTCACTTTCGGCCTTTATTACACCATTGACATGATTTCCTTTTCCCCCTTTATCTCTGTTTTCCAGATCTGCTGCTTATATTTTACTATTGGAAGGCGATAGGCGACAAGTTTTTTGTAGTTCACCATCTGGCAGCATTGTATGCTTACTACTATGTACTGGTGAGTGCCCTATTGTCCAATAGCAGAACGTGCAGGCAAGATGGGAAGGAGACAACCAAGGGTGAACAGCTGTGTCCTCTTTAGCTTGGCGGGTACTTTTTAAACTCCCCCGAGTCGCCACACACTGATACCTCAGGAACGTCGTTGGTTTGATTGAAAGAAAACGAAAAAAAGATCAAGTCAGGGCTTTAAGTAGAAAAGCTGCAAAGGGTAAAAACACTCCCAAGATGGCGTCCATCCCACTCTGCTTTGTTGCCCCTGTCCAGCTGGCACATTTGTTGTTCTAAAGTAGCGAGGCATCGATCACTTTTGGGGTTTTGAGCTTGCTAGCCTCCAGTGGGTTAGAAATTGTTCCTTCGGACGGGGTTTCATTGGGGACAGAAGGTGGGTCTTGATGCGATTCGGTTGGCCGTGGCCGGCCGTAGAAACCAGGGACCTCCTGGGCAGGAGATCAGTAGGGTTAATAGGGTTAAACTTCAGAGGGCAGCATTTAATCAGATTTGATTTTTGGACGTTAGCCCTTCCGTTTCCGCCTTTCTGGCCTCTATGGTAGCGTTCACGGGGCAGCGCTGTTCACTCTTGGTTCAACCTAAAACCCTCTAGGTGGCCAGGAGCTGTCGCATAATTACAGGAAGTGTATGACGATGGTAATTTTTGCATGGAATGCTCAGTGATGGTACTGGCTGATGAACCCCCTACCCCCTCCCCTCCTCTCCTCTCCTCTCCTCTCCCGTTTCCCGTCACCTCTCACTTTGCCTTTCCAATTTCTGTGCCCCTTCTGTTTTATTTCACTCACCCCCTTCGATGTCCGCTGAACCTCTGGCAGCTTAGCACAGCCGAATGCTTAACCGTAACCTCTGTGCGCATGCTGGTGGCTCTGAAGCACTCTCTATAGCCATAGCTTTCTCGTTACCGTGCATGCCAACAAGCAGTATTATTTTTTTTAAGTTACTCACCTGCTTATCTGCAGCACCTTACACTTGTCTGTTTTTTTGTTGTTGTTTTTTTGGTGCCAGAGCCTAGTTTTGCTTCCTTTTTCTTCTTCTTCTTCTTGCACTCCCTGATCCAGAAAAAGCTTCTGATCGTGATTGTATTAGGCTTCACTCCTGTGTGCAAGATAGTCTGATGCCGCTTTTAACGCCGCTTTGAGTCAGTCTGCTGGACTTTTATTTAGCGTCGGCGGAGCGTGTTTACGGGGAGTTTACGACACCGTAAACGCTCTTTATTTTCTCTGGAGGACACAGGACATACAGCGTGCATTGCTCTGCCTCCTCAGCACCCAAATATTTATTTATTTTATTACTTTATTTATTTAGAAGTACATCTTACCCCTGATCTCTCACTGTTCCCGACTTTTCTGCATTTACAGAATTGTTTTTTCCTTCATGTGACAAAACTAATCTATATAATCCATTTGATCTTTCCATTCTAATGTTCTTTTCCCCCCTCTTCTGGACAAAGTAAGCAACAAAGTGTCACGTGGTTGGAATAAAAGGATCTATATATTTTAATCAGAGCAAGCACCTGTATCTAAAACGTTCGGCTAAACGAGGGGAAGTAGGCCATACTGTCACTGGACACTCATGACTGTTTCCTCAGACTAGATCTGAGGTTTTTTTGTGGGATAGCAGAATGATGAATATCAGCCAGCCGTAGTGGGAAAAGCAACATTTTCAGCCACATCATTGTAGCGTTGCCACATTTCCTTTTAAAAGGTTACGATCCAACAACCCCTGATGTCATTTTCTTTTGATGTAGTTTTCTGTACCCATTAAGATTTGTCATTTGTCTTATTAGTCTCATTAGTTAATGTGTTTGATGTGTTTTTGTTCAAGTGTTCATGTCAGGCTGTCAGTGAAGTTTACAGTCGAAGAAGGACGTTCAACCTAAAGACACCTAGCCATGACAAAACCTTTAAATAAAATGCAGTTAGAGTTGTAAAATCGGTATCACGCGAACACCAATCGGTCTAATTTTAGGGTATGTTTATATTATTGATAAGGCTGTCATAAATGGCTCTGGAAGTCATTTATCATTCATGTAAAAGGAGCGCAGTCTGTCTTTGTGTGTCTCTTTTAACTGTCAAGGAGAATCTAATCCAAAAGACGTGATCGTTAGATGCATGCTTTCTTCTCAGTGTTGTAAGTGTTGCTTTCTTATTTGCTTCCAGTTTATTGTGGCTTTTTCTTTTCTTCTAATATATCTGTGTGTCTCTGTGTCCTTTGCTGACTTTAACACAAACAGCCCCTCTTTAAACCCCACATGCAAAAACTACCAAAATCAGGTTTGGGGGATGTGTTAATCCCCGTTCATGCAAAAACTACCAAAAAGGGTTTTACGTGTGTCATTTTTGGAAGCGCAGTTCAGGTACTGATCTAGATGGGGACGACTTTATTCCTGTCTTGTCTGCTGTTATTGCTGTTGTGTTGTTACTGAGCAGATATGATGCCCAGTCACAGTATGGACTTACCAGTTCCTAGGGGTACTAGCATGTTCACGCCACAAGGAGAGTTCATATGACACGGCACATAGGCTCTGTTTTAACACAGAGTAAGTATGTCTCACTGACCGCCCTGTGTTTCAGCCCATTGGGGTAAGTATCGGACCACCCTGCTGTTAGCCCCAGACTGCACGAGAAATTAACTCGAAAGGGTTTTTTTTTTATTGTTTTTTTTTGTGGATGTTTTGTTACAATTGTCACAAATAAGAAAATGCTGAGATGTTCGGAGCACAAAAGTTGAGCGCTCCTATCGTTTTTTGCAACCTGGTGGCCCGACAGCAATTAAAGAGCGGGCGTTCTGAAATCGGAGGACCCGATCCCGACACTATAGAGAGAGTTGTTTGACATATTGCTTCTTACTCTGCATGGCTTTTGATTGCTCCCTCAACCTAGTGGCTGGCTGAGTGTTTGTATGGTTGTATCAAATGCTGTATCGATTATTTTCAGGCGGATTCCCCCTGTTCCATCTTTTTATTATGTAATAAATTAATGTACCGGAGCGGCAGCCTTTTTATTTATTTTAGGAACAGGGTGATGCTTATGAAAGTTTGGACCTTTTCTAGCCTGTCCGGAAGTATTGACCCACCATTTAGAGAGCCCAAGCTATACTTTCCAACGTGACCATCTTGAATCTAAGAGGTTTCATGAGTTTTGATTGTAGAAGACATTTAATTTCTCAATTTAGATTTAAAAAAAAGAAATATTTGACATATGTGGTAGGAGTCACGTCAGTCCTCCTAGGAGACCTGTTCTGATTGGAAAAATTAGTTAACAGGCGTATTTTTTTTTTACATTTATCTATTTTTTTTTATATATGGAGGAAAAAAATGTGGATGTTTTTTTTTATAAAATGAGGCATTACAGTGTACCTTTTTCTCACAAAACCATAGAAAAAATCTTGGCCTGAGGGTGAAGAAGACACTTGTTAGATTGATCTCTGTATCATTTTTTATTTTTTTTCACAGCTGTAGTTATTCTGCTGAGAAATAGTATTTGTATGTAGCCAGCGTTGCATCGGCTCCATGCCTGCAGATCCAAACGACTCGGTTGTCTTGTTTTTTGTCCCTTTCATTGTCTTCTCCTTGTCTTCTTTGTGCTTACCTTTTTTTCCAGGGCGAAGGAATGTTGCCTTATTTTGCTAACTTCCGTCTGCTTGCTGAGTTTTCTACACCATGTGTAAACCAGCGGTACGTACTCGCTTACTCATGACCTGGTTGGGTCTCAGGTCCTCTTGGTGGGTCTCAGTGAATGCAGTTGGAGGTTAAGAGTGCAGATTCACCACCTTAAACACACTACATTTTAAAAAATTCAAACGAGTTGAAATCTGGTCCAGTTACTCATAAGTAACTGTGTCCAAACAAGTGGAATCCAGTTAATTTCAGTCTGCTTTGGTTAAGTGTTTTTTAGATTTTAAGCCGGTCCACACTGACTGTTCGTAAATATTTCTTTCTTATTTTTAAATTAGATATTTAATGCTTAGTTTAATATACGTGTTTCTTTCTGATAAACCTAGATATCTCTTGAGCTAATTATGTGTATTCGGTTTTATTTCCCTCCAGAATCTTTGCCGATCCACATTTGCACTTAACACCTGTTAACTATTACAGTTGCAAAAACTTGTCAGCTAAAGTTGTCTGATACATTTTAAACATTCACAGTTTCATCTCTTCTAAATATTATCCTAAAAATGTCTGTGGTTTCAGTTGGTTCTTTGAGGTACTAGGTTATCCCAGGTCCTCCCGGCCCAACATGGCGAACGGCGTTGCCATGGCGGTAGTCTTTTTCCTGGTCCGCATCGCCGTCATGCCGGTCTACTACAGCCGCATGTGCGCGGTCTACGGCACCGAGGCCTTCTACCTGGTGCCCTGGGGGGGCCGCGTGGCCTGGATCTGCTCCAGCATCTGCCTGGACGTCATGAACATCATGTGGATGCATAAGATTGCCCGCGGCTGCTACAAAGTGCTGCGCTCGGCGCGCCGGAGCAAAGCTGGAACACCTCAGGAGAACGGGAAGACGGATTAAGGGAAAACCAGGGTTTTTGGAGGGGAAAAAAAAAAAAAAGAAGCCACCACGGAAACCCGAGTGGCAATATTCTCAGTACACCGCAAGTAGCAGTTTGGACCCTAACGCGCAGACACAGGACTGGACGCTGCAAGATCCGAATGTAATGAGGCAGACCTCTTTCTGGGAAAGCAGGCAAAGTCGCTGATTTATATTCCGATGGGCCACTTAAACGCTCATCCCAAAGCCATTACGTGACCTCGAAGCAATACTCTGTGTGCACGGCCGACTGGTTGTTTTTCCCGAACGGTTCACAAACACGACGGAGGTCACCCGGGGAAGAAAACGGACTGTTATCCCAACCACAAAATTGTCAAAAAAGTTTACTGTTCTTTCCGTGCGCAGCGCTCGGGGAAAAAGGAAAAGAAAGACTGCAGGATTTGAGTCGCAGAGCGAATGTGGTGACATGCAAGCTGCTGTGTGTGTGTGTGAGGAAAGGAAAGATTAGAGGGAGTCCACCGACACATTTTCTCACCTCCACATTGGTCAGAGCCACTGTCACCTTTACCCACCATCACTCACTTTTTTTAGGTTGTCCGGAAACAAGGCAAATGGGTTTTAAAAGACACAAGCACTAAAATAATTTGTAACTTTTACTAATGAGATGATGTCAAGATGTCTTTTTTGAATGTCAAAAGGGATTTTGTTAACGCGCCGACAGGGGGCTGAAGGTGTTTTTTTTCGAATATCGTCGCACCACATTTTCAGTGTGAGCAATGTATGAACAAATGTGCGCTCTTGATTTTTTAAAAATGTCGTCTTTTCCACACACTTTTTTTTGCATTGTATTTATTTCACACTGTACAATGCATCTGGAGGAGAAGGTATGGAGTCAGAGTCCAATTAAAAGCTCGACAACATCCACATTCAGATGACACGGCAATTGGTTTTTAAATAAAAGGTTTGGGTTAGAAGTGGTATGCAGGTCTTAGATGCGATTCTAATCTGTTCATTTGTGCCATTGACCACATGTTTAGATAATACACTCACTTCCTATTTATGGGATCTATTTTATTTTATTTTTTAGACATGAACTGTTGATTTTCCCATTTGGTAAACCTTTTGTCAGAAAACAGTGAAGGGATCTGGAATTTTCTGTTGGCTGTAAGGTAAATGTTCCACTGGATGTGACCCCCCACAGCAGGTTTCCATTTTACACAAAGAAGGAAAATGGGCAATCGCTGTTTCAGATGGTAGAAATACCTTTTTTACAATACATTTTTATGGTTTCTTTTTCCAGGATCTTGGTACCGTCAATATCTCTCGATATGAAAGACTTCTTCTCACCTGTTTGACGTATTTATTTGTTGATTTGAAAGAAAAGAAGTAATTTAACAGATGATGGATTATGGGGGAAAAAGGCTCTTTTGTTTGTTGTCATTCATCAGTGGGAGCATGAACAGTTCGCTTCAGAGGGTTTTGAAGACGAAACTGATGTTTGTTCAAATTAAAGATTGGAGTCCACTGATAATTTCAGAGACGTACTTGAAATTGTAGTTGCACCCTAACTAAACTGTACAGGAAAAGCTTTCTGTGCGATGTTTGGCGACGCAGAAACAGGGATTGTTTGACTTAATTTTTGCCTTGCCACCATCAGCATTTGATTTTGTTGCCTTTGTAGAACAACGTGTGATTGCACAGTGATTTATTTGTTGCATTTAGCTCTTCACGGCACTGAAAAATGAGTTGTTTTCAGTGATTCGCGTGTCTCTACTGCCCTTGTGGTATTTCTTTCTGCTTTCTTTTTTTTTTTGGTTTCTTTTGCTTTGTTATGTAGAGAAAAGCTCATAGGGTGTTTTTTTTTTTTAAGGTCAAAATTCATTCTCTCTGCCTGCTTTGGTTGGTGACAGTATGTCAAGAATCAGTTTAGTTTACCGGCCATCATAAGTGACAAAGATAGCACCGTTTTACTGACAAAGTCTACAGATGAAGAATTATTGTAAAGTGTCATTTTCACGTGAATATCACTGACTTTTTGGGTTTTTAAAAGGAAAAAAAAGAAGAAACAACGTTCTTTCTGTCGATATTTTACCAGGATTAAACGGAAACCATGCAATGGTTTCTGGACAGCAGACTCCTGATAGGATCGTGGAAGTCTCTGTGTACAAGCTCATGCATGGTCAATATGGTCTTCATGCACCTTCTATAACTGCATGTGGTATTGCATGAGGATTGCACTGTAAACAAAATAGCATATTTGCAAGACCAGTTTTGTTCCATGTTTTCTTTTCTTTTTTTCTTTAGTACATGTACATAATGTTTACTTAAACGTTATTCTTGTACTGTGCCACATAATGTAATGTACAGGTGAAGATACAAATGATGTGATTATCTTGAAGCAGATATTTAGTATAATATCCAGCACAGAAATATTCAGTAAGGGAATACTTGAATACTAATCAGCACAGTTTAACAATCTGGGCAGTGCAAACAAACATTAATCTTACAAGCATCTTGCATAATATGTAATCCATTGTCTTTAATTTATTAATGCAACAGAGAATTACTGAGCAAAGCAGGTTTCATGGTAATGGAGAGCCCAGTGCTGCTAAGAGCTACATGGAGGCTTTTGCTGTTTTAATGCTGTTGGAGGGATTTATGAGTAGGTGTTAGTGACATTCTGTGAATGTACTGAACATGAGCAAATATTTGGCATTTACAATTTCATTTATTCTTGACAATAAATACCAATTTGACTGCTGTGGTGTGTCTCATTTGAACATATTCTGTCTTAAACCGCTCACGGATCAGTAGAATTTTGTTATAATTTCAGAGTTGTGGCCCCCACCCCTCTCCAGCCACAATGCACTGCAGAATTTATTCTAATTGTTTTGAAACTTATCACTTCAGTCCATTGTAGATCTTAAAAGTCAGTTTACTAAACCAAAAATGACTTTGGTAAAAGGTGTATTTCTTCTCAATTGCATTTGTTTGACAAACATTTTGGGAAAAGAACGATCAGTGTATGATTAAAGGGCATAGTTTCTGCTTCCTGCTGGTTTGACAGGAAATAACAGCACATAGACCTTAATTTATTTCAGCACATAGACCTTAATTTATTTCAGGACAAGCATATATTTCCCTGCGTAGCGGCTACCCTGATGGCAACAGTTGGTCTACTGATAAAGACTCAGGTTTTGTGCTAGAAACAACCACATGAGGACAGTGTTGTCTGATATTCGTTCCCATTGTTTGATGCAAGATTTGGCCAAATCTTGCATCAAACAATGGCACCTGTCATTTGATATATTTGTTCTGCAGGTTAATTGGTTTAATAGTTCGATTCTTTTTACTGCGGAGACATTGTGGGGTGATATGTAAGCTACTCTGTTCGGTTTTGGGTGACTTCAGTGTAACAATAACATCTTACACAGAATCCTATTGATTATTATTTTGATTTCTATATGAGTCTATTTTCTATCTATTATGAGGTATGGACTTTTTGTTAAAAAATTACATGAGTTTTTCAGAAAGGGCCCAGTTTGAGCTGTCATTACACTTTAGATGGAGGAAACACTTTCCGATTTCTAAGTCTGAAACCAGGCATTTATTTTGGAGTGGAACAGTTCTCTGTGATCTGTGATATAATTGACTGGACTCAAGCGGTCAATCCTCCCAGCACTCTATGGTTTCAGACCAGCTTTGAATTTGTAAGGGAATTCATCTAATTAAACTGATGGAATGACAGAAAAAGATAAATTATTTTAGAAAAAAAATTATCTCCTGGAGATTTGCAAAAGCCAGCATGCACATAACTGGAGGCAATTTACAAAACATCAAGCAAATGAATGATGAACAAAGTTTCTTTAACATTATTGGTCTTTTTTTTACGGGATCCATAGGAAAGATATGATGGTGCCAAATCATTAGTCAATTAGTAAGCCATTATAGTGAGTATTTACAATGCAATGCCACGAAATACACATATGGTTTCAATGAACTCGTCTCCTCTTGTGTGTCATCTTGGAATAATTGCGAGTGTAATTCCATGAAGGCCAAACTAAAATAGATTATCACTGATTGTATCATCCTGATGCTTTTATAGTATCAGGGGACTTTGGATCCGGTGACTGACTAGTTTTAAATGCAAGAGAAAAACCTACTAAGCACTATAGAGCGACCAAAGTGCAAAATCACTATCAAAGTAAAGACCGTGTTTTCCCTAAGGAACAACTATTTCACTGTGGAAAAGCTAAATTAACATTGTGCATTTATGCAGAGTTGCTTTCCCTGTTAAACAAGTGTAACAAATTTGATCTCTTACAGCCCTTCTCAGTGACATTGCTATTAAACAATGTGATGCTAAACTCATTTTTCATTTTCTACATGCACATGCATGATTTTGCATGTAAACCTTTGGAGGCATTTGGCCTTTAGGCTTAGGTACAAGTCTTTGAATGAGGTTTATTTTGTTTTTCATATATATATGAGGTAGAGAAAGCCATTACTTTTTTCATGTGTTCCATAAATGGCGTCAAAAAAAGGAAAAAAAAAAGGAAGTCACAAATGGCTAGTAAATGTCCCGGCGACCTTACATTCCCCGTGGGTGTCTGAGAGAACAAATGACTGAGACTTCCTTCCCTTCGCTCTCCATGTCTTACGTCTGTGATGGCTCCTCTGCTGCTCGCCTGGATCTGAAGTTGTATTCCAATACACGATTATAAAAGCTCTTGAGATTAGTAAAACGCACAACTAAACTATATAAATAGCTCTCAGGTTAGGCCATTACCGTGAAGATATAACAGAAGTGGTTCATACTTTCAGATGTATACCAAAAGTAATCTAATAATGATATAAAATGTGACAGACTTAGTGTTTTACCAACAGGATTCTCTCCGAACACACAGGCAGACATGGTCCCAGTTTGTTTAACAGAGATTCTTCCAGAACACTGATTCTTAACTTTAACCTAAATATGACAGTTACATAAAAGAAACAGGTAGAATAATCTGTTTACTACCTGATAATGATACACGGATTCTATCTTTGTCTGGAAATTACTTCACATCATTCCAAGAAGAATCCCTTCACAGAAAACAGCTCACAAATAAAGCACAACGCACAAATAAGGTCAACTTGCAGTCCAGTGATGTAAGGCCATAAAGCAATGCCATTATCTTCGTCACCAGCGCAGATAAAGGACGTTGCTTAAGATCCAAGAGGATATTCAACATTTGTTAGAATGGTATGCAAGATATTTCAATACAGCAACAAAAAATGAGGGGAAATTTTATACCTAATGTCACAAAAGGGACATTTTTAGACATCCTGTATCCAAGTCCTGTGTTTGTTACTGTATTGTTATCACTATTTGGTTGATATTTCCAGTTTGACTGTTGAATATGGAAAGTGTGGTATAAAAAACGGAAAACAAACAAACAAAACGCTGTTAGTGTAGATAGTCAATGGACTGGCAGATGTGCCAAATTGGTCTCAGAGGCTAAGGGTGTGACAGGAAATACACACTGAACTACAACCAACATATGACCAAGGCCAAGCAGGGAATCTGCAGGCATTAGGTATAGAATTTCCGTGAAATCCCTTTGGAGAACGGAGATCGCTGCACTCACAGATAAGATAATCCACTTTTTCGACCAAGCCCCCGCAGAGCGCCGGGGCTTTAAAAGGAGTGGCTCACACTCCCTGCCCTATAGCCTCCTCCACCTCTGCAGGTTGTCCACAGTCAGTTCAGCCAACATGTCCGCAGACTTCTCTAAGAATGCTAAGGAGAGACCGGAGCCTTTTAAGGCAGAAGTCAAAGGTTGGTTGAGTTCTTTTCTTCTAATTGACTTTACTTTAAACCTATAATGCCAAATGTATCATATATGATTCATACGGTTTCTGAAATGTTTTGCGTCTGACGCCTTTTTGGATAATTTAATGGTAAAAACTTTGCTCAAAATCCTACTGTACACAATCAGGTACACCTGATAACAGGGGGCAGAAGACTACACAAAAAATAATCTTGACTTATCGCATTGTAAGAAATTATTAATATAAAAAAAGTTTTACATATTTTGTTAAAAGGCCAAATAAAGATTTCAAACCAAAAAAAAGTAATTTTCAGTTTTGTTTTATTCTTGGATCAGGCTTTAAAGGGTTAAATACATTTTCTTTTAATCCCCTTTGTATTCTTAGCAAGTGCATGATCTTAAATGTAATAAATTGGATGTGTTTTCTTTTGGAAAAGGGACCATTCCCAGCTGGCTGCAGGGCACACTGCTGCGCAACGGTCCAGGGATGTTTTCTGTGGGGGACACAAGCTATGACCACTGGTTTGACGGGATGTCGCTCATGAACAGCTTCACTTTCAAAGATGGTTTGTTTGCATTTTATTTAAGATAACTCTCCGATTGACAGTATTGATCTGTCTGGGGTTTAAAGGTAAGATAACTCCCATTTTGCTTCTGTTTTTTTTTTTCCCCCTGCAGGGGAAGTAATCCACCGAAGCAGATTTCTCCAAAGTGACACATACAAATCAAACATGGCTGCAAACAGAATAGTTGTGTCTGAAATGGGGACGATGGCCTATCCAGACCCAAGCAAAAACTTTATTGTCAAGTAAGTCCTTAGAATCAGTTTGTTGTTTGCTGTTCGGCTTCTTACTCTCTTGGAGGGAAGTGAAATGGATAGGATGCTCTTTCTCACATCTCTATTTATTCATTTCAAAATGGCCTTTTCAGGGCAATTACTTTTCTGAATCACACCGTGCCGGATTTTACTGACAATGGCGCCAGCAATTTCATTAAATATGGAAACGACTACTATGCCACCTCTGAGACCAACTACATTCGCAAGATCGACCCCGTTACCTTGGAAACTCAAGACAAGGTAACAGCTTTGAATGCTCTTTGTCATTTTTACGCAAGTTTATGCAAACCATCATTTCAGAGGTCTTCCCTCTCCCTGACGTGATCACACAGGTGGACTATATGAAATTCCTGCCAGTGAACTTGGCTTCATCCCATCCACACTATGACAAGGAGGGCAATGCCTACAACATTGGAACTTCAATAGCAGAGAAGGGAAAGACGAAATACACTCTGTTCAAAGTCCCTGCTGTTTCAGAGAAAAGTAAGTTATGTAATCTTTGTGCCATATATCTTTATGTGTGTGTGGGATCGTTAAATATTTGATGCATGTAATAGAAATAGCGTAAACATGGACTAAAAATGTAATAGATAGATTATATAAACATCAGATTTTTTTCTTTTTTGTCGTCCTTGTATAAATTAGCTGACAAAATATGAATGCATTCATGCTTTTTCCACAAAACTACTTTACTTTTCTCGGTTTCCGTCCTGGGATAATTAAAAAAAAACCTGTGATTCTGGTTGACAAGATGACATGTAAATAAGAGATTTATTCAGACGGAACAAAAATCTATCTTCATCGTGAAGTTCTGCGATAAAAAAACACTCTTATTTGAGCCACAGGCAGAAAAATTCAGAGACTGGTGCGATGTGATCCACCTTGATGACCAGTAGTCCCACCTTTATCATACGTTTGCTTTTTGTGCCATTATTTTGTAATATAAACCTCAATATGTTTTCAGTTCAATAACAGTGTAGCCTATCTTCCTTACCATTTAAATGTGACACCAATAGCAATAGTGACCGCAAGTTAGCCAATTTAAACAACTTGCATTTTGTCAATGTTTCCAGTGTCCTCCTTTTTCCTCAGTAAATACAGTTTATTTACAAAAAGAAAATATATTATAGTGATCATGATGCTGCCATTTACAACTTGTTTCAAAAGACTAAATTCAATAAACTTATGTGGATGGACTTGGTTCCAAACAACTCACAGCTTGTTCACTTTTTTTTTTAACTGTCAGATAAAGGAAAGAATGTCCCCGCTCTGAAGAACGTGGAGGTGATCTGCACGGTTCCCTGCAGGTCCCTGCTCACGCCCAGCTACTACCACAGCTTTGGCATGACTGACAACTACATCATCTTCATCGAGCAGCCGTTCAAGCTGGACATCCTTAAGATGGCCACCGCCTACATGAGGGGCGTGAACTGGGCAAGCTGCATGAAGTTCTGTCCTGACGAAAACGTAGGTTCCGGTGGTTTGTTCTGTGTTCGGTTTTTAGTACAGACAGGAGGTGCCTTTACATCGAACATACTGACTCTGTCTGAATGCTCTGTTCCCCATCAGACCCTGATCCACCTGATAAACCGAAAGACTGGCAAACAGGTGGACGTAAAGTACTACACTGGAGCGATGATTGTCTATCACCACGTGAACGCTTATGAGGAGGACGGCCACGTGGTCTTTGACGTCATCGCCTACAACGATGTCAGCCTTTACGACATGTTTTACTTAAGCAAGCTTAAAGAGGACACTGATTTCCACAACAAAGGCTACTCCCAACCAAGCTATAGGAGATATGCACTTCCTATCCATTGTGACAAGGTGGGATTAAAAAAAAAAGCAATTAAACAAAACAGCAATCTAATGATTTTCAGGTATAACTTAAAATAAGGCAGTCTAGCTTAGGCTGACTTTTGTTGCTGGGTTTTGCAGAGTGCTGCGGTCGGGGACGACCTGGTGAAACTCAAATACACAACAGCCAGCGCTGTTAAGGAGAAGGAAGGCAAACTGACATGCCAAGCAGAGGTGCTCCTCGAAGGTAAAAGCCTAACGGAAGCCATACTCACATCAGCAACTGTAATTCTGTTTGTAATGTGTGTTTTGAGCCTCAAAATATAATCTCCTAACCAAAAATCTGGGATTTTCTCTCCCTCAGGCATCGAGTTGCCAAGGATCAATTACGACTTAAACGGCAAGAAACACCAGTTTGTCTATGGAAACGTAGTGGAAGAATCCGTGCTGTCAAAACAGGTGACGTACCTCATTATTTTTTAGGGACGGTTTGGAACATGGCTCTTTTAAATGGTCCACTGGGAAAATAATTGCGAGGAGCCTCTGGAACTTTGCCGTTTCTGTAAGACTAGAGCTGTCAAGCACAGGGATTGTGGGAAACAGATTTTTCCTGACAACTCCGTCTCACAAACGTAGGAAACAAACGGCAGTGCTGAAAATGACTGGTTTGCGTAGTACGCCGTAGTTAAATCTTTTGAACTTTAAAGACCTATTGTCCCAACATGGGCTGAGTTGGTGGGGATTTGAATGCATCACTTGTACAGCGGGACATCAGGAGCGAGGAAAATTACACATCAAAGTACAAAACTGCAAAGGTCATCCAAGAAACATTCGCAAATAGGAAAGCGAAGGAATGATCAATTCCGGATTAGACAATGACATATTGTGTTAATCCCCTATGGATGCAACATTCTTTAGAACGGATAGATTTTTGTGGCCTCCCTGGAAGATATATAAGCTGTAATAAAAATTCTTTTAGGGAGCATTGTTTGCACGTGGGACACGACATAATGTGTCTGTGATTAAACGAAGTTATCAGGGGATGGTACTTTGTAAATCGGAGTTAAAAAGAACTGATAACAGGCGGAAGATACAAGATGAACCAAATGAACTCTGGCCAAATGTTTACAAACTGAGTACTACCTAAATAAAAATGAAGCCAAATTAAAACCAATGGCACAGCGTTTGTATTGGCGTGAGATAAATCAATCTAATTTAAAAGTATGGCTCGCCTCGATTTCGTCCTGACGTCATGGAAGCGTGACCTGAACTGAACAAGAGCTTATCTCTTGGACGTTTGAAGGAAAGCGCATGATAATGTAGGACTTTAAACCAGGACTCCCGCAAATGTGAACTCCGAGATTTGATTGTCAGACGAAGACCAAGTGGTCCTTATCTCTGGTCTTTTCCAGCATGTCTTGTACACGTTTTTTTCCTCAAACGGAAAAAGACTGGTGCTTTTGAGCTGTGCTATCACTGCCTGTCGCATAAAGTTCGGGTTCAGCTAAATGTTTTGAACAATTTGTGGTTACCTCCTCGTTGACTTTAGGTTGCAAAGCTCGACACGGTGTCTAAGGAACTGGTTCGCTGGGGAGAAGACAACTGTCTGCCCTCAGAGCCGGTTTTCGTCCCCAGACCAAACGGAGAGTCAGAGGATGATGGTGAGACTTCAAAATAAAATGCACGCATGATGCAGATTCCAAGTGGACTGCAGATCTGCGTGTGATTTATTGTGACGTTTTATGACAGTTTTAGATACAAAGCTCTGACACGACAGCTCTTTTCAATCCGCAGGAGTGGTCCTGTCGTCGGTCATCAACTGCAACCCCGGCCAGTCTGGTTTCATCATCGTACTTGATGGCAAAACGTTCAAGGAGGTAGCTCGTGCTTATGTGCATACCGACCTCCACAAGGATATGCACGGACTTTTTATCCCCGGGGGGAACTGATCCGTTTGAGTGTTTCCCCTGGTCCGCTAAAGCAGGATCACCCAAGAGATGGACCCAAGTTTTGTTTCCAAGACGATCCAATGATTTGCTATCAACCAGCAGCTCCCATGTGCTCAGTCATCCCACTGACTTCATCACTGCCCCTGTTAACTCTTTATATTTGTGTGTATATTTGTCTTTATATTGTGCTAATTAGCTTGTTATCTATTTATACTCCAAATCTCAGATTGTATGCTTTTTGGCATTGCTTGTTAGCATTTTTTTTTTTTTGCTTTTAAACCCTTTGGCTTGTATCTTGTGCTTCTACCTTGTTAAACTGAACCCATACATGTTTGTTGATAAAAATGGAAATGCATTGATTTGTTTTATGTGCAGATCAAAAATGTTGTTTTTGAGCACTCCTGTGTACATATAGCTGTCGTTAGAGTCATGCTTCTCGTTTCATTAAAGATAAGACATGCCAATTCTGGAGTTTTCTTATTTATTAACTCTACAGAACCATATAGGTGAGCCAAGGCAATGCCCATCATGCAGTTTTTAAATTAAAACACATGCACACAACATATGCTTCAGATATACTATCAAACCCCTGTGGAAATGTCCTCAGTCAGCTTTTGTCGTCTGATTACGGAACCGCTAACCACTGATGACGCAGGAGCAAAGATCATTGAGTTGACTTTTATTCAGGCACAATAAAAAAGAAAAACAACTTGTGAAAGGGAAGGTTGTTTTCAACGGATAGGAAACGGAATTCCAACACTAATAAAAGTCAATGTTTTATCAGACAACTCAGTGGCTTCTTGCAGTGTTCCAGAATGTACTGATATGACCAGTTTAATGATAAATTGCATTTTTGACCCATTTGATCATTTGAAACTGACTTAATGTTCTTTAGTGTTGTTTTAGTGGAAATTGGTAAATTATCCTGAGTAATATGCTCTCTTTAAGCTTTAGTAATATGTGTTAATAGTACAAAATGTGAGCATCCAAATTACAAATCAAACTAATTTCCCACCATTACAGCATTGAACTGGCCTATAATTATAGCATTCAATATCTTCCTATAACCAGTGAAGAAATCTTTTAAAAAAATATGTACCCCAATAATTAAACTAATAAACACCCATAAGCAGTAATTGGTGGACATTATGCATTCTATTTCCAATTTATAGTTTCATTTAACTGTTTCTGGATTTTGTGACTCAAGTCGTCCACCAGATGGAAGCAACAGCCAAACTTCCTCCTAAAATCCAAACGTGTCCCTTTCTGGAGCTGCAACAAATCTGAACTTGTCCTGACAATTTTTTCTTTTCACCAGAAATTTAATTACACACAAAAACTTTCAAAATTGACAAAGTAAAACCTGCTGAACTGTAACAGCAAAGCACCTGACAATATGGCCTGTTTAAACCAATTGAAATACTGAAGATAACAGGAGTGAAAACACAACTTGTGTCACCGACATGGCAACAGTGCTGCTCATTAAAACACCCTTCACCTGAGTCACTGGGTAATTGTTTTTTGGGGAAATACACATAAAAATGCCTGTAATTATTTACAGCGGGTTAAAAAAAATACTATGATGTCACTATTTCAAAGAATTTCTTTTTACAAAAACAAGTTACAGAGCTGGGGCTAAAGGACATTTTAGAGTGGATATTCATGTATTCGACTGCACAAAACAAGGCACAACTCAAACAAAGATTTACATCTTTTTCCCTCCAACAGGGAGAAGGACGTCTACATAATTTGAACTATCATTCTAACCGCCTGTTATGATGACACAAACACATAATGTTCACCAGATGAACAATAACACGTTAGAACTCACACAGTCTTTCTAATCTCCAGTAGCAATAAGAAAAATAAGAACATAACAGTTGATTTTTTTTTGTCTCAATTTTCATTTTAGTACAAACCACACTATAAACAAACCCGCACACTCATTTGTGCACCAGTGTGACTAAAGAGGAAAAATATCAAATGAGAAATCCGGCCTTCACTGCCATAGATGCAAAACTGGGAACATCCCCATGGAGCAGACATGTGCATAAAAAACTGGACTTAGTGGGAATAACAGAAAGAAATGCTGTTGTGTACATCATATCAACAGCTAGGGTAGAATCATGTTTCACTCAAGGATGTAATAATGCATCGGCTTGTCTGATCCTGTGTGGTGTTCGTCAAAAAAAGCCATATAAAACATTTAGTGCAACTTAAAGAATTAATAAGTGTGGAACCTGACATATCCAAATATGATCCCAGGAATATCCATACATTATTCCTTTAAAAAAAAAAGATTTACATTCAACAAATGAATGTTGAAGCTAATTTGGAGAGACTTGTTGTCGATTTAAGATCCACAAGGAAATGCTACATTATTTGCCCCAGTTTCTTCCTAATCTACTCAAGCCATCTCCCCCCAAAAAAAGGGAAAAAAAGCATGCAAAATACAGCTTAATACTGATTTCACTCAGTGAGACACTGAAACCATCAGTAGTGAGATGACGGCCACCAAAAGTAAAAAAAAGGACACACGCTTCATAGTTAACACACAAGCAGAAAAATGACAGGGAGAGCGAAAACGGTGAAGACAAATAGTCCGGACGCAAGAGGAGTCGGGAAAGAAGAAGTGAGAAGTGACTGTCCTCGCTTTCCTGGAAGTGTTCTGATGCAATCCTGATCGAGTCGTGGCTGCGGGGGGGGGTCGGGCGATGGACGGAAAAAGAAGAACACTTTAAGTTCATGACATTTTCAGCAAGTCTTGAATGGCCCTTAGATCTTTTTTATCCCCGTTTACCTCCGCTTTTTCTAACCCTGGACTTTGGCGTCTTGCTGAATTCCCTGTAGATCTGATACAATTCTGCTATAAGCAGCTTGTAAGAATACTGGAACATGCTCAGGTACTCATGTACCTGAGCGGTGACTTCTTCACGGTAGGAAGATGGCGATGGGAAAGATTCTGCTGGTTCTGGTAACAGTCACTAGATGTCACTGGCTCGTCGGGGTTTGGTGTTCAGGGGTGAGGCGACGCCACTCGGGTCCCTGCCGCTTAGCTGCCTTTGGCTTGAGACGCCTCTTCTTCAGCTGCAGAGTCCTGCTTTTTCTCACCGTCCTCTTCCCCATCACCTGGCGGGGACAGAAAGGGGGACGGGGTAACGGTCAGTTTGGTGCCTGTGAAGCTTTCGACCCGAAAGCCTGAAAGCCGGAGCCGAGCACAGTGATCCGTTTAAAAAAATCCAAAAGCCTTTCAAAGTGTCTTTTCAGTCACTCTCTTTGCTGAGTCAGCTTCTTTGACTCTGGATGCATTGGGGGTAAAATGCGGTACTGTGGGAGGACCTCTCCCTCACATTCTGCCTTGAGAGGGGAAAAAAAGCAAAAACAAGCCACAGATGCAGCCCTGCAAATGTTTTAAAAACATCAAAAGCCTGATAACATTCAGCCAAGTCTTAAGATACCTTAAGCAGAGCCTGAAATAATCATTAAAATATTTAAAGAGCACATTTTCTCTCTTTAACATTGAAAAACTGATACATTGACATGTCTGCATTCAAAGGGTCAAAATGTTGGTTAACACTCAGAAAAGCCCCCAGCTAAAATTCAGAGCCTATGAAAACACTACTGCAGACTAGACTATATTAGACTATATTAGAGAAAAAATCCTAGTCCCCTGTGTCCGTATACAGGATGTCAAGAGTAAACTGTAACTGACCTCCAAACACGCCGTGAGGCCAAATGCATCAAGCTGTGGGTGGATTTTCAAAGAAAAAGGTGAGAATATGCAGAGGTCTGCAAAAAATAAATTCACCTTCCCTGGTGTTTTTCTTATCATACAATCATACAAAGTTTTATGCAGTTTTGAGGTGACTTTATGACTTTATGTAAGCAGTTTGTCTGTTTAGAATACTAGATCTGATGCAACTAATTGCCTTAAGGAGCAACATCATTTTTTAAGCAAAGCCGGCCGATAAGCAGTCTAAGCATCACGTGATCTCAGTATATACACAGCTGCTCTGTCTTCCGCATCACCAATCAACATGCACCAAGCGAGCAATGTCTCCAAGACTGAAGAGTTCCAAACACACCTGGGAAAAAAGTAGGAATATGGCCAAAATGGAGCGCTCCACAGAGGAAACGGATGCATCTGTCCAAAGGAACGCCTTTAGTCGTACCCCACATTTCCATCATCCTTGCAACACTAGAATGGTTTCGGTGAATACATTTCAAAGTGTGATGATTTAAAGATTGCTAAATACCAGAGGAACCTGTCCAACTTGAAAGAGTTGGAACAGTTTTACTTTGAAAAAATGGGCATTAATCCCAGCAAATGGAGGTGCCAAGTTTACAGACTCATACCCTGGAAGAATTGCTGCTTTTGTACCGACACAAAGAGCGAATACATACGCAACCTCTTTTTATTTTCGCTTTGCGATATGTTCCACAAACTTGTAGTTTTTCGTTCAGTTAATCATATGCATTCAAAAATTGATACGGCTTAGTTGATTCTCCGAGTTCTGCAAAGAGAATCCACGACTGAATTGAAAAGGTGGTTTCACTTAAAAGTTGTGGATTCTGACAGAAGTAAAAAGGGGAATTTGACCACAAACAGACACCGTCACAGCCACCTTTATGCATGATCCTTCTGAAATTGCATCTGGCCTTAATTTACATTTCCCCTTCACTGGATCGGCTGCTCTGAAGAAAGGCAGACTGTTAATGCTCACTTTTTCCCTTTAAAACACAGCCTCCTGTGTAAGGAGATGCCTCTGAGTAAATACTATACACTCTAATGTGTACCGAGTGAGGAGTAAGTGAGCTATAAATTGACCGGAACCACTGGGGTTTCGCACCATTTCTGACACTCAAAGTATCAAATGACACTCTGTTACTGACACCGGTCCGGATTCGATTGCCTGCTTGGGGCCACTACTCACCTGACTTGTTGATGCTGAGCTTCCCCAAACCCTGCGCCAGGTCGGTGGGTCCCTGCGCGTCCGGGGCCGATGGGATCTCGTGGACGGCGTTCCGACGACCGGATCGTTGGGAAGCGATGAAGTCCACGAAGGTCGCCTCCACATCCGTCATCGCTGACACGCCTCACCATAGCACGGCCTTTCACACACAGCGACACACACTCGTGATTAGGCATGCATTCATACATCTCTTAACCCTAAAGAGCGCAGAGAACTTGATTTCTCAGGTGCGTTTGTGTTCAGAGGGAAGAATGAGACTCACCGGGCTAACCATCTGCTCGGTCAAAAGCATCCCTCCCTCTTATTTTACAACCTCATACCTGGTTAATCTATTTTAATCGCAGCCTGGGGGGCAGGCACCTCCAGTGATGCAACGGGGAGGAATTAGAGTATATGAAAGACTGAGGGGTCTGAGAACAAATGGACGGCAAACCAAAAAGCACCCTCAGATGGGTGATGATTGTAAAGAGGCACAATGAGAAGCTCCACTCATTTCAAACTACGCTCATTTAGTCATGTTGGATGAGTGCATTTAAATGCATCTGCGTTTCAGAACCGCCTCAGACTCAAAGGTCGGTTTTGTGTTCCTTCAGTCTGAAGATAACAGGTTGAAAATGGAGAAAAAAAAAAAGAAACTGGACAAAAATGACCTCAGGTCCAGTTTGTTTGTGGCTATTTCCGGGAGCGAGCAATCTGTGATTGACCACGGCTATTTTTGGACTCCTCTGTCACCGACCCAGCTCACCCCCTCTCAGCTGTCCTCCTCAGACTGGCTTTAAGATGGGTGAGAACCAACAGATGCTGCACATGAATGCAGAAAAGCTTCAGCTGACAGTAAGAATGTTCATCTGGTATTATAAACTGCGTTGAAGATCTTCCTGATAGAAACTCAAAAACAACCAGACATCCCTGTGAGAAGTTTTAAAAATGTCTTTCTCCGTCTCAATGTTTTCCTCCTGATTAAAAATTAAGAAGATGACTTGCAGTTTCAATAAAGAAATCAATCATATTAATAAAATATATGTAATGCAAAGGATACAAACACATAGTGCATTCTATATGTGGAGGATGAAGGTTAAAAAGTATCCTATGTATGTTTTGAATGAGAAAACTTCCCCTTCACTTCACATCGTCATATATTTTTTTTTACATGTTGCTTGTATGATGTTTTTTTTATTTTTTATATGACATCTGTTTGTTTTATTTATATTCTAAAAACTATTTATAGACTGCTTACACAATTCAGACTCTTTGCTGTGGCTGAACCTCTGCAGTTTATTCCCATGTGGAAAAAAAAGGGATCAGCTGGCTTCTACACCAATGCATGATCTCTAGCACAGACTCTAAAAATATAATGATATGACTGTAATACACAACAGAGCAGTGTCCTCGGAGGCCTTATCTGCCCTGGCTGCTCTGTTCATTGACCCGCTCCTGTTGGGTCAGTCTGCAGCAGAGGGGACCAGCAGTTTTTCTAACTGGAATGCAAAGTAAACAAGAACATAATACAACCAATTTGAGACTTGACATTGGCCCCCCAGCATTCTCTTTTTCTCCTATAGACTTCTCGACTCTTCAAACCTGTTATTCAAGAAGGAACTTAACAGTTTCAATATCAATGTTTACAATTATTAACGTTTAATCGGACCAACAAGGCCAACAAAGAGGAAAAAAACACACACACAAAAGGGCATATAATTATGGCACTGTATGCATTGTTTTGATATCTTACATTGAAAAATAGACGCTTGAAATCAACTAATAAGCTTGAATCCATATAGAGACGTGAGACAATAGAAGCGGAAAAGCGTAATCTCACAGATAATTTACAACCCAGATGCGTCTCTCTGATTTTAAACCTCCCCACAAAGCGGGGTCAGTGCCAGAAATCACAGCCTCCCCCCTTATACCTGCTGCGCGTGCAGTTCTGAATGGCGCGCGCACGAGCCGGACCACGGCCGGACAGGTACCTGTCAGGGCTCCGCGGCTGTCCGGCACGCGCAGGGGTCAGTCACTCCGGCTCGAGCCCTTGGCACTTTGGCGTTCACAATAAGAGCTCGTCGAAGATGATCGACAAACGACAAGAGCGGTCTGGAGCGGCACCACTTCCGGGTTTGCGTTTCAAAACAAGTGCCCTTACGCGCTTGTCCGCGTGAGTATAGGACTTTTAGTCTATCAAGTCAGGGAAATTTACATTTAACTGAGCAAAGCGTTGTCAGAGCTCTCTTTTTTGTATCCAAATTGATCTAATTTATATGATGTAAATAAAATAATTTTCCATTCTTATGATCGAGTTGCAGATGTTATATCTGAGCCCCATTTCAGAGTGTATGTGTATGTGTGAGTGCGTGTGTGTGTGAGAGAGAGAACGAGGGAGAGGCTGGGAGTGAGAACAGTGATCTTGGTGTTCATGACAGCCCTTCAGTGGCGTCCTGACTGTCAGCATCTGTCTCTGAATGGAGCCATTCAGCCGACACATGTTTTCAGTCTGGTGAACAGCGCTTCCGAGTGTTTGCCCTGGGCCAGTGTCGGGGCAAAGTCATAAAAGGGAGCTCAGTTGTTTGGGAGCTTCAGTTCAATGAGAGACACTTGAACATAGGGTGTGTTACCACTAAAGGCAGAAATGCTTATTGGATTATTTATCTATTTCATATCAAATGGTTTTCGTGCCCACTCTTATTGCAGGGATACACATCAGACGTGTCAGCACTCACGGGGGAATTGCTTCAATATTTAATGACTGAGATCAGAGAGGGCAGAACGTATTTACCGAGGTGAACTTACATAATTGAACTAATAATTAATTAATGATAAACACGGTGGAGCAAAACAGAAATGAGTAAACTAAGTGACGATTTAAAAAGTCACAGAAATGTATGCACTTTTTGAATGCGCGAATAACCATACCGGAATATGTATTTCCTCTTGAATGTGACATTCAATTATTTAAAAAAAAGGTTGAAACCAGATACTAAATATATATATAAAAAAAGACCAATTTTGAAACGGTTACGTCCGTTACCGCGAAACCGGAAGTGTGGGGTGGTGAATCCTCTCGTTTCTCCTGGTTCTGTTTGGCCGCCTGTAACAACGGGAGCAGCATCAGACAAGAGATAACCTAATGATGGAAGAATTTGAAGGTAACCGAAATCACTTTCCTGATATAATTTTTTATAGCCACGGGGTTGCAAAATCGCTCTTATATTATGACCCATCCAAATGAACACCGAGGGATTCGTCGCTGCTTTAGCTTGCCGGTTTTTTGAAAGCGACCTATATTTTTTTGTTTGGGATTTAGCCCAAGTAATGCTAGGTAACGCCAGGGCCAAAGATGAAGCTAGCTGCTGCCTGTCTGATTGGGTGTGATTCCTAGCCCGAGCAGTTATCCCGTCTTAGCACGAGCGCTAACTCGCGAAGCTTCAAATGAATGAAGTAAATATCGCATAGCAACGGAATTCCGTGATTAAACTGCCTTTAAAAAAAGAGACAAACTTTGTTTCCTTCTTTTTTTTTCTTCTTTTAAGCATTCTTATTTTGAAGTCGTAAACATGCACGCTACTGTTAGCTTGTGTCAAATACAGCCGTTTTCATGGATTCGTGCTGAAAATGTAGGGCAACAGAATAATCAATGCTAGCAACAATAAAAAGCATAAAACAAACAAACAAAATACACCAGTTATGAGAGCGGTGGTAAGTGTCTACCGACTTGGATATATTTTCTGGGTCTTGGGAAAGCATGCTCGTTTAGTTAATATATTGAAGGATGGTGGTTTTGCTACTTTATTCTCTGTGGTATTTTTAAACCAGCCTCCTGACAGGATATCTGTTTTTCCACGCAGATGCCGAGGCTCCTCCCGCCGAGGATCTGGCTCAGTGTCACACCTGTAAAAGATGGTTCTTCCCAAAAGTCCTGGTAACTAAACATACTCTCCTCTGTGGTCTTAAACAGGCGATACAAGTCAGTCTTGGAATTGTGAAAAAGTGTCAGAGATTGGGGCGTTGATTTGGCTGAGTTGACCTCCTTTGCTTTAAAAGAACACACAAAACAAAAACAATCCTTGGATTTCCATCAGATGCACAACAACCTCTTCCACAGACCTGATCAGCTGACTGGCTATCAGCTGTTTGAGTCCAAACAGCTGATAGCCTGTAAAGAGCTGTTTTTATAGTGTCAGCACATGTGTGAATCCTTCAACATTTAGATTCGAGGCATAAGAATAGCTGTATCTATCCACTGTGATGTTTGATATCTCAGAGAAACAACAGGCTTCCGTTTCAGTAATGTTATATATAACAAGTTATTTCCCTCTCCGAAGCAGATCGACAATTACTCCCACCGCCCCATTAGTGGATTATGGCTGCAATAATGCGCAGTGTTCCTGCTGGGTGATATGTATGGCAGGCTTTCATTTACGTGCACTTGGAGACAGTTAAAGTTTGAATCTATCAGATGCAGCATGTTGCTGTTACAGTAACCCTTTTATGCAACATTAGGGGGGCTGGTCTTTGTTTCACTGTACAGTCCTCCTCCAACAGGACAAGCATGGAAAGATCTGCCAAAAGACCACAACGAAAAGGAGGAAGGTTTTTGACTCGAGCAGGCAGAGGGCAGAGGGAACAGATATCTCCACACTCAAACCTATCAAACCAAAGGTAAGAGCGGAGGATTGGAGATCTAACAGTGAAAACATCCAGGATTTTTCAGTTTTAACAATAACAAAAAAAAAGATGTCTTAAAAAAATGTGTGTACTTTTGATGAGTAAATATTAATACCTATTGAGCAACATGAACATTCAGTCACTGTTTAAAAATCCCAGAGCCAACAAGAGAATCCATCAGAATATGTTTGACGTTTTTGGTGGCAAACTGCTCACACGCATTGAGCTCACCTGACTCTTCTGCTACTTTACGCATGACATTACAGTTTTTGATTTGTTGGATGAACGTTTATTTCCACATGTCAACCCCTTTCAATTGTATTTCAGTCACAAAGTTCAGCTGCCTCAGTGAAAGTAAGTTGATTGTTATTTTTCTTTTATCTATCCTTCTCTTTCATCTACATGATTTTTAGAGGCTCATTTAATCTGTTGGGGCCCAGAGGGCTTTTGCTTACAGTTAGTGGCCTTGTAAATGCTTCTTTGTGCTGAGCCATTTACACGAGTTATTAAACATGTGTAGACTTATGCTTGTCTTATTCATATTAATCAGTGGAAAAGAAAAACCTTCTTCTGCTTGTATTTGTGAAATCTCATGAGTTAGATTTCCCCCTTTGTTTTCTTTTTTTCTTTTGCTATGTATGTCTTAACAATATTGTTTTCTGCTCCGGAAATGGATTACCATCTAATGACTCCTTAAAACCGGGTATATGGCTTTGCCTTCATGTCCCCACGGCCTGCAATAAAGTCATGCGGTCAGTCTACGACTCTGTTGGCTGGAGTTGATCCAGAAATTAGTTTAATTGTCCGTTCTGCCGACTCGTGAGGTTGTGGCCCGAACAGGCAAATTTCTATTTGTCTGATGGTTACATCAGAGTTGGGACAGCTCGCAGGAAAGCAAAAAAGCAAAAAAGCTTAAAACCAAGGCAGACGGGACGGTGGTTGTTTTCCCAGAATAAGCTGTGTTGCTCAAACAAAGTAGGGTAATGAACTCAAATACTGTAACTGTAGGAGGAAGTAGGAAGTCAGTGGAGCTATCATGTTGCCGCAGAGGCAGCTAAGGAGGCAGTGCTGGGTGAACTACTTCTGCCTGGTATTGTTAGCCTCAGATAAGGCCGGAGCTGTCAGTAGGGTTTTTTTTAGTTGTTATTATTATGATTACCAAGGAAGACTGAGCGATGCATTGCAGAAAAAAAAAAAGACTTGCAATTTTAGGCATTTCCGGGTGGAGATAAGAGGATTTTATCACGACTCTGATACACTTCCAATCAAGATAAACCCGACACACCCACGCGTCTCACCAATAGCCTCAGTTCTAGAAAAAGGAACCGTTCACCGAGTTTCTGTTTTGGTGTTGCCCCGCCAGGCCGAACCGCCGAAGAAGCCGTCCAACTGGCGCAAGAAACACGAGGACTTCATCGCCACCATCCGGGCCGCCAAGTCCCTGACCCAGGTCATAAAAGACGGGGGGCCGCTGCCCCCGCCTCCTCCTCCCACCTACGACCCAGGTGACCAGGGGCCGCCGCGGACGGCCGCACATCCAGCGTTTTGCCGCCAGTAGATCCGATTTCTGATGTTGCTCCGCCCCGCGTGCCCCCTACAGATTACATCCAGTGCCCTTACTGTCAGCGGAGGTTCAACGAGAGTGCAGCTGACAGACACATCAAGTTCTGCCAGGAGCAGGCCGCCCGCATGCCCAACAAAAGCAAGCCGGGAGATGCCAGGAAGCCTGCAGCTCGCGCGCAGGTACAAGCACGCATTCAAACCATTTAAGCCTATTTTTTTTCCCTCTCCCTCTCCCCTTGTTTTTTTTTTTGGCTTAAAAAGCAACACACAGAACTATCTGATTTTCGGTGTTCTCCGATTGGTGAAACAAAGTGGGCCGCAGCTGTCCCTGCACGCGGTCAGCGATCCAGGCAGGACTCGCCTCCTGTGCCATTCTGCACCGTGGTAGAGCTGGAGAAGCCTCTGGCTGATTGTCAATTCATCACTTTGTCGTTTGAAGGGTGAGCAGGATGACTTCGGCCATCGAGTTTGGCAGCATTCTCCCGCGCAGAGTCAACCCCAGAGGCCTCGGGGCAGTGGATGGAGATAGCTTTATTAACGAGTTAATTCAGCTTCTCTGAATCACCGGCTTCAATGCCCAATCAGATTCATGCTCCACAGGCTCCTGAGGCTTTGACAGACAGTTTGGACAGTTTGTGGTTTACCTTTGAGCACCATTTAACCAGCCACTTTGCGTCCACTGACGCAGGACAACAAGAATGTTGTTCAGAAGGAAAGAAAAAAACAATAGAAAGTGAACTCTTACTCTCTTGTCTGCTTGTTCCCACACTTACCAGAAGGCTTGGCCTTTTGGATGTTAGCTCGGTGCTGTCTCTAAATGTTAGATAATTGGAAGCGTTGTTCATAAATCATTTCTAATGATCTGTTTTATACCCTTGATGAGATTTCCACTCTAAACGGAACGAAAAGCCTCACAGCAGATTTAGCACACGACTGCAGAGCTCATTCAATTTCCAATAAAAACAGTGGGATCGCAGCCACTTTCAGTCTTTTCCTCATTATGACAACAGAACAGTCATTATGTTGGGAAGATTTCCCATGGGGACATTTGAAAGCTTGTTTTTTTTTTATTATTATTACTTGAATTAGAGCTGAGCTCGCCTTTTCTTTCCCTGTCAGCAGTGTGAAACGCACAGTCATCCCTGAGTGACACAGTTGCACAGATCGCATATTTTAAGCCGTCACAGGGATTAACATTCAAGCATGTGCACAACCAGGAAGTATCTAGCAGATGTTTATTTAGATTTGAAAAATGTTTAAAAAAAACTGCTTGATTTTGAGGACTTTGATACGTGCAGGGACTGTGGGAAATCAAAACGACACCCCGAGAGAACGGCGGTGCTGGCAGATGTGAGAGCCGCTGGCTTCTGAGCCGCTGTCCTTTGCCTGCCTCGAGTGGTTCAGGAAAGCTGGCAACGGAGGGCCCTGTTAAAACAGTTTACAGAAGCACTCCAGGCACAGCTGTACGGGGTGGGCAGACTCTAAGTTGTCAGTTTTACAGGACAAATGAGTCACTGAAGAAAGCAAATTGGGGGAGGATTACATTTTTTCAGCCACCCGATCCCATCTGAGTACGTGCAACTCAAAGCTGTAAACCATTCTTGAGGAAGTCTTTGCGAAGTATTTAACACAAACGCCTTGTTTCCGGTTATGCTAACCCTTCAATCATTTGAGCATCTTAAAAAAAAAAAAGGTCCGTTGACAGACAGCCTGTGTTCCTAAACCCTTTCTGTCTCTGGGCTGTAATCCCGTTACTCACTGTAACTTCTAAACTGTGTCTGTAATCAAGTATTTATTCAACTCCGTGACATTTAGCTTGTCTTTGTTTTGCCTTGTGTCAGCCTCAGTTGAAGCCCACCCCTGTGAAAAAGACCAACTCTCCCGCCGCGTCATCCATCCCCTCGGCCTCTTCCCGTCTCCCCCAGAGATCAGGCCCCGCGCAGTCCTCTGGTAAGGCAGCGTAGAGGGTCTTCTGTGTGTTTGTAAGGGGGTTTGTAAGCACAAAAAAAAGATCTGGAGTTTATCACACAAGGGACAATGACCTCAAAGCCAACCCTCCTCACTGTGTACTGATGTGCATTTGCTAATTGTTTTATTTTTTTTCTAAAATGTCTCCGACTCCAGCTATCCCCTCCAGCAAGGTTCCCTCGGCGGGCTCGGTGAGGAGTGATCCCTCCGGCCTAACAAGCCCACCTTCAGGGTGAGCGCACACGCCGTGTTTCCACCTCAGTGAGCTCACCGGGCTTGTCCTTAAACGCCGATACCATGAGTGTTACCATTTTGATTTTTGCCATTCTGGCAGTTGAATCTATTCCAACATTTGCTGAGTTAGTCAAACAGTTTTTGTTTCTCTTTTAAATTTGTATTTATCGTTCCACGTGAACTTGTGGGCCAAACTGCTTTCGTTCCGTTTTCTCATTTCGACAATCAGTTTTGGAACTAAAAGAGTTTCAGCAAGATAAAATGGAAAGAACAAATTTAAAAAAGGGAACAAACTCTCCCTTTTCTTTGCTACACTGTACAGGATGCAATGACTTCATAGAAATATTTAGTAACTATGACTTAAGAGCAGAAGATTGTTTCAATTTCATGACATCATGACATATTTTTTTTACGGACAGAACTGAGTGAAAAAGGTGTACATTACTGTTTAACATTACTTCCAAAGAACCAGACTATCTGGTCTTGAATAATTCCAGCAACATAGTGATTCCCGAAATTGAATCCATGTTTTGTTTTATCTTTGAAAAGGGAATAAAAGAGGACACTTTAGAACTGGTGGACAAAAAGGAGCCTGAACCAGCAGATTAACTGCATGTGAATCTGAGACCTGATGAGTGTTTTTTTTTTGTGGACGGGTGGCTGCGAAGGGGCCGTTATAAAGAAAGCGAAACAAGGAGAGACGTCCGCTGTCCAAAGTACACACAAACTCGTCTCGGGTGACATAAATAGCCACTGCAGGAAGTAGAGAACTTTCCCCGGAGCCCAATGTTCACCACCATTCCCGAAAACTGCGTAAGGGAAAAGGCAGCCAGCGTTCCGAAAGGGTTTGGCAATACCCTGCTTCTGTTTGCATGCTCGTTTCAGAGGACCATTTCCCCAGAAAAATCTGAATAAACGAGTATTTGCATACCGTATCGGGAGATTTTTAATCCTATAATGAAAAGCCCCGTCTGTTGTTGTGATTGTGGTGGTTACAGGCATGAGCTCAGATGCTCGTTTGGAATTTGAGATATGTGCATATAAAAACCATTCATTACCACACATCCTTGTTTCTCCCCTCACTTTTCTTTTTTTTATTTTATTTATTCTTCTTTGAAACCCCGCTCAGCGTGGGAACCAAGACCCGAGCCCCCAGCTACGGCTCTGTCCGGAGCACTCAGTCTGGACTTGGACTCAACAAGAAGAAAGCGGACGCCTTTATATCTCGGTGAGTTAGACTCCCACAGACTTTTTTTGTACCCCCAGAATTCACCTCTGCTTTACGCACGCGTCTCTGCTCTTGCGTTTATCAGATCTGGCAGAGCTTTCTTCCTCAGGCTTTCTATGCCATCTGCACTATTCTAGTAATCCATCAACTGACTGCTCAACCTCTTTGTAGGTTCTGTCGCTCCTCACTCCATGTTGACCATTTTGACGAGTGCTAATGCTCTCACTAAATTCCCAGAGATACAATATCTCGGGGTGTAAAGTCTCAACCGCCCGCCTGTGTCACATTCCCAGGAACGACGTAGACGGCAGAAATGAAGTCGGCAACGGTGGCCTGAAGAGCAAGTTCTGTCACGCCTGCGGGACCAAATACCCCGTAGAATCCGCAAAGTTCTGCTGCGAGTGCGGCGTCAGGAGGATGTGCCTCTGATGGAAAGTCAAAAGATCGAGTGGCCACGCGGACACTGGAGCGGACGCGGAAAGAGTTTCACCAAAGCCGAGGAGAAGTCAAAGGAGAGAGGAGCCACTGCATTTCCATCTCCATCGGCCCACAGGGGTCTAGTTTCCTGGCAGTCCAGCGGGGTGATATTACGGTTTGAAGTTCTACAGTGAAGGTTTGGGATGCTGACATCTATGACGACATGTCTACTTAGAAGGGCTGGCATCATTTACACTATTAACATCAGCGGCCTTAAAAAAAACAAAACCAAGATCACTGCCTTGAATCTAGACTCCATGAAGCAATTGGGAAAAGAAAGTGAGGTAATTTGGAGGAGGAGGAGTGAGGGCCATGGATGGGGATGAAGGTTCTGTCATAGGTTAGACTTACAGAGGGAAGTCTGGTGCAGCATTTAAAGACTCAAAGGGTGCAAAGGGTTTTTAAAATTGGAAGACGGGAGATAAAGTTTGCCCCTCGATTGTCCTCGTAGTTCCTTCCCTGTCCACCGTTACAGTTAGAGCGTTCCTCCATCCTATTTACGTCCAGATCTTATCAAAAAGAGCCATCGAAAGTGCAATATAATTGACTACTGAAGAAAGCAAGGTGCTTATCTTAGAAAAATGGGCAGGGTTGTCTATGCTGCCACCTTGATTTGAAAGGGCCTGGTCCCAAAACGAATTATCCACTCAAGGTAATAAAAGCGTCACAGATAAAATGTAGCTCTGTCCCTTTAATTTCATTAACAAAAAAAAAAAAAAGGTCAGACTAGCTATTTATTTTCCAATTTCATTTTAATGAATGAACAACGACTGCAGCTTTTCCTTAATATTGTACAGTTTGTATTTGGATCGGTAGGAGATCAGTCTGGACACCGGCGTGTTGCGTTTGCTGTCCCTGACCGTGTTTTCCCAGTCAGTATTAAATGAGGCAAAGTTCGCGGGATCGGATTGAGCAACACCTCAGATCTGTTTCGGCTCCGTCGATCCCTCTTTGATCCCGCAGGCTTTTGTTTGCGGGGCGCCGTCGTAGACACGAGTACTTTAAGTCATTGTATCTTTGTCAGCCAAGGATTTCAGTTATTTTGAGCACAAAGTAAACCGCTGCGTTGGTTGTCAACAAATATTTAAACGGACCGAGGAGACGTGGGTTTTTAAACCCGGACGCGGTTGTGCGCTTCATGCCATGTATATCCACCATAAATAAACTTCTATGAAGACATCTGGTCCATTTGTGTGTTGGTTTCAGGACCACATTTCTTTTCAATTGCAGGTCACAATGAGTACAAAGTAACACAAAATCTTTAAATTCTTTTAATATAAATATAGCTACAGCTACCCATGTCAAATACAAATCCACTTGCTGTATCTTCTTGGATAAAATATACATTTTACAGACATGAATCGGCTAGATGTTACCTAGCAGGAAGAGAGAATGAGTGCAGCAGTAAAAGTAGAGGCCGGTACGAGGAGCACAGATTGAGCATTTTCCAAGCACAAACAATGACATGTGGCAGTTTGTAAGTTCTTACTTCCATGCAGTAGTACATTCTGGCTGTTTGGTTTGACAAAGGTTACATAAAGCATCATTAATCACAGCACTGACTCAAAGTGTTGGGGAACACGATCTGTTATTCTTTTCCCAGAGTACGGCCTGTGAACTGAACCCCAGCCAGCTACGGCGGGACGGGCTTTTAATGTATCAATCACTGGTAAAAACGTGTCACCGACAGAGAGCACCCATGACCAGACTCGCAGCCCCGAATAACTGACTTTAGATGAGCCGAGATAGCAAAAACAAGCCGGGGGCTTGTCAAGCCAAATCCGACACGAAATGAAAGCAAAACTGAATTTTTAGCACCTTTGCCTTAGCCGCCATCCTCAGTGCGGCTAAATGTGATAGCATATCCTTCACCGTCTAATTTAGAAATTGTGCTTTTAGTTTCACATTGATATTCAAAAATTCAAATATAGGTGTCTTAACCCAGTTAAGATGCTTCGTAGAGAGTGTATTTTGGACAATACGAGGAGTCCAAAAGGCGCGTTTGTGCAACACAGAGTTCCAAAGTCCAGTACATCGGACACTTTGACATTTCTTTAGACTTCATAGCTTGTCTTTGTATCGTTTAGGGACTAGTCTTAAGAGCCAGTAGTCACACAATACCCCAAACAGCTGCAAGACAGACATACTGACAGGAAAGCTTAAATGAAGTGAAAGCTTCTTCTTGCATAATCCCACACAGGACTGTTTTTTCTTCTTCATGCGTTGCTTGTATTCAGCTGAACATTCAACATCTGATAGCAACCGGTCATGGAAGACAAGATTGCCTGAGCTCTGCACAGTTTTCTCATTTGTCTTGTCGCTCTCTTCCTTTTCCTCGGGCTCAAGGGGGAGTCTTTAGTCTAGAAGATAGACAATGAACCATCAGCAATATAATCAATTAAAAAATGCGTCTCAATTGCTGGCACGCCGTTGATGCGCGATCCTGCAGTGAAACGGGTGAGTCACTATAATAAAGCTGCACTTGTTTGAATAAGGGCCCTGGTTTTGTTCAGATGGGTGACTCAGACTTTTACGATGAGCCCTAACCATCTTATTTCAATCTTACCCTTGGCTGCTAGAGAGGTGCTCGTGGACAATAAAGGTGTGGTTTTCTGTGCCATTTTATAAAAACAACTTCCATTAATTGGACAGAGACACAAAAGTATCTTTGTTCAACCTTAAGGCAAGTAACCAAGCCGGTTAAAAAAAAGGCCGTGCTCCCGTCTAGTCTCTGCTTCTCTATCTGTGTCAAAACGTATGCTCACTTTCTTCTTTTGTACTTCTTTTTTTGTGTTTGTTGTTCGCTGTATTTTGCTCTGCCTGACAGCAAGTTAAAAAGTCTCATAAGTGAACAGGTTATCAGGATACAGCTGAGCGGCAGTGTGACCGACTGGTGAGTCACCCACAACCCGGCACTCTCCAGCCTAGATTCCTCTGTCTTTGTCGAGCATATTAACAAAATCTAATACAGATAAATTCTCAGACTGTTTATTTCTGACCCACAGATCCATGCACTGTGCAAAGAGCTGAAACTTACCGCTTTGCTGGGACAAGGGCAACCTATTGAAAGCTGGATGGTCTCCACCAATGCTTCTGTGTGCGGTATTTGTAAATTGTGCATTTTGCAGGCCAGTTTCAGCAGGGTGCTGGAGAAATCCTGCAGAAGACAAACGTGTAAGAAAGCGTCCGTACTTTCGGTCGTACAGTTTGTGAGCTCTGTGCCCACAAATCATTGTGATAATGGAAATACTAACGGTAGGGAAAGCAGTGGTTTGCAAAGTTGGACCAAGGTTGATTGGTTTGATTTAAACAATACTACAGAAGTGTTTACCTCTCAGCATTTGCCAAGAAGTTTTATGTTTTAAGAACTGCTCCTGTATTCGGCTGTAGTCAATTTGAATGAATAGGATCTTGATCTCAGTTAGTGCGGGCGCCGGGGTAATTTTTAAAGAATATTCAAGCACTTACACAATATTTAATGATAGACTGAACAGCTGATCGATAAAAAAAAAAACAAAAAAAAACCTGTCTATCACGGTCCTGATGTAGTTATTTTTTACTTTTTACTCACTGGTCTGTCAGATCTGCAGTTTGGCAGCGGGTATTTCTTCGCCGTGCAGTTGTTTCCCACTGATATAGAGATGTTTTCCCTCTTAAAGAAATAAATGAAGCATTGTCAACACAATGAATACAGCAGATATTTTACACAGAGACATTTCAATCACCCCGTTGGACAAAAAAATGATTATTTGTCCTATTGGTGGGACCTAGGAAACACCTTTAAAGCGTCTAATATCTTCCAAGGTGTATGTATTTATAGACTGTTTGATAGGTGGTATTTTATGTCAGGATGGGATCAAGATTCTGAGAAAAGTAAAGATAATGGAGAACCTGAAAAATCCCTCCTATTGAGTTACAGCTCCTCTGGAGGAACTCATCCTCTCGGTTTCCGCAAGTTTGCTCAAACTTGTCTTTCATAAACTTTCTCAGTGATAAGATGTCATGAGACAAACGTTTTCACTCTAGCTTAGCCAAGAAAAAAAAAGGCATGATCCCATTTTGAAAAAAAAAGAAGAGAGATGATGGATGAGATGCTATTCCAAACAACTTAAACCTCATTTTATTAGCAGCACAAATAGGAGCTATCAAAACTGACGTATGACTAATTTAGTCATACTCTATCACCAACTGACAACCTCTGAGGCTTTGAAGCATTAAGAATAAACCAAAGAGGCCAGGACTGTCTGGATAATGAAACTGTTCAGAACACAAACTCTTTCAGAATGAAATCAAAGGCAGAAGTGAAGCAACACTATTTTTTCTTTTTGAAAATGTGAGCAAACATTTGTAAAAAAAAACAAAAAAAAAACAAAAAAGAAATTCTCTGAGTCATCTCAAACTTTCATTTCATTTTGAATACAGTCACCGGCATGCATAATTGCTGAAACAGCAGAGCCCGGAGGCCTTGAACACACACACACACACACACACACACACACACACACACACACACACACACACACACACACACACACACACACACACACACACACACACACACACACTA